ATTATGCATTAATTAAGGTTAAAAAAGAGACTAAACTGTCCAGTTTCTTTCCAAATACTGAGCCAAATCTCTTTTTGTATTAAACATCTCAGAATAGTTTACTACCTTGTAAGCACAATAATGATTAAACACATATTTTAACATGTAATATTGAACTGTATCACTGCATTATAAATATCCACAAATATTAAAGGGATCCTTACTGTAAAGTGTAAAACTACACACTATTTTGGATGGGGTGGGATTATTTGTTGTGTTAACATGACTTTTTTGATACATCAACATTGTTGACCATTACATGTTTGAACAATAATTTCAAATATTGATCATCAACATGAAATTTTAAAAATGGTGATATTTTCCTCCATTTAAGACTAACTTTTGGCATTTATAAAGGTTTGTCATTAATAAATGGTGTACTGTTTACACTTTAAGATAAGTCTCCCTTTGACAGTAGTGGATATTTATAATGCAGTAAAAAAATAATATGTTAAAATATGTGTTTCTTATCGTTATTGTACAATGTCGTAACCTAGTCTGAAATGTTTAATACCTTTACATATGTATGTGAATAGATTTGTCTCATTATTTAGTAAGAAACCGGACAGTTTTGTCTCTTTCACGTTCTTAATTATTGCATAATAAACCTTTATTATTGATTAATAAAGTGTTTACAGATGAATTATTAACCTTTCTATAAACTCTTTATAAGCCATCTATAAGGTGAGCCTTAATGTAAAGGGGTACTAAAAAAGCTTGCACAGTAAATTCTCCTTACAAGATTTTCATAAATATTTACTGTACATAGATACAATATTCTCAAACACACAGCATGTGATAAAATCCAGCCATCATTTTTCAGTTGAAAGACTTGTTTTTTTGCAGGATTGTTCAAATTTTCTTGTCAGCTTGATTCATTTTGGACTTTCCTATTTGATTCATTAGCGCAACTAGTGTTTGAACATGGAACTGCACCCACCATCATCGCTCCCAGGTAAAGGACAGATGAGTGACAGGACAGGGTCAATTCAGGGGGGCCAATCAGATTTCAGCTGGGGCCAATGCCCCTGTGGCCCCGCCCCTAGAACCGCCCCTGGTTGTAGCCCACGTAAACCACACCTTAGTACGCCCAGGTAGGCTGCATTAACGTCTGTGAAATGTCTACGGATAATGTACGTTTGTGTGACCACGCACTGCCCTGTTTAGGGTTGGGCGATATTGGCAAAAAAAATTAATCATGATTAATTGTGGTATTTAGCCGATAACGATTAACTTGACGATTAATCCCTTGGAGTCCCTGGACACCCTCATGTCCTGGTCACATGACCAATTTAGTGGGAAAGATTTCATAAAAATCTGTTCCAAATTGTGTCAAAATTACAGATTTCATGCTACACATCAAATTTAAAACTGTGTTGATAGATAAATAAATTGCAGAACTTTTTTAATGTTCATCATATTTGAAGTAGAGAGGAGCAGCGAGCGGATTCTGCCTGGTGGCATTAATCGTATTAATCGTCAAGTGCCAAAAAGTAATCGATTAATGTTTTTCTGACGATTAATTGCACACGATACGATTATGCCCAACCCTAGCCCTGTTACCATGTTGTTACATTTTATATCACATCTTCAGTTGTCTTTCATGGTATAACTTCACAAAACTCAGTATTATAAAAAAGTTATATATAAATCAAATTGAAAATACTAATAATTTGGGTTTAGCTCCAGTATCAGTACTTGCATTTTATTTAACATCTCATTGCAGCATAAATCGAATCAGCTAAGTTGCTGTTTTAACTTTTAAAAAACAAATGATCCGGTCTTGAAAAAATGTCCATACTTAATTGTAAAAAAATATAAAAACTCCGATGTCTGTTTTTGTTGATTAGTTTGCTGTCTGCTCAATGAATACTGGATTNGTACTTGCATTTTATTTAACATCTCATTGCAGCATAAATCGAATCAGCTAAGTTGCTAAATTAACTTTTAAAAACAAATTCATTTGTCCATGAAAAAATGTCCATACTTAATTGTAAAAAAATATAAAAACTCCGATGTCTGTTTTTGTTGATTAGTTTGCTGTCTGCTCAATGAATACTGGATTATCGTTGGGTGTGTAGGACACTCAGATGCAGCCTATGTTTTCAGGGTTTTCTTAGTTGCATGAGTAGGCGCCTATGAATCGGGACAGCCTATGACGTAGTGACATAAGCAGAAGACAAATGCGCCCTACGCAGGCTACAACCTCTGAATTAAGACAGCAATTATCTCGTGATATTGCAAGACGTCACATTTTAACTCAATATCTGTGAAACTGGGTTTWAATTTTTTTTTCTGTCGAACGTTGACGAGGCGGCCATCTTGAATGTCAACTGTCATTAATGGTGATTTCCAGTGTTTCTTTCAAATCCACCCAGAAATGCCACATTCAGTATCTAAATAAGATTTTATTCATCCTGGGACAGATATATAAAAACATTATAAAATTATTTGAAACTGGCATCAAATTATCAATATTTTCTTTATTGTAAAGAAAAAAAATCAGAACAGGCTTGATTAAAAAAGACAACATAATGCTTGTAGTAAATTCAGTCTGTAGATAAAGCGTTAGTTGATTGTCTCTTGTGACATTCAGCAGGATGGATATGAGGTCGTGAACAAATAATCTACCATTTTCTGAAAAAAAACAGATGTGATTTAAACCTAGATGAAGCAAAATAAATGACAATAAAACATTGTAGGGTTGATTTTGACCAGACCAAAAAAAGTTATGGTCCTCTTGAATGATGTGTCCTTGGTGTTTTTGTTCCGGTGGTCCTCTAGGGGGTCTTCTATTTTGTGCATTTGGTAGATGATGAATCACACTTGTACCCGTACGAACAGCAGTGCTGACCATCAGCGCAGCACACCCCCTGAAATCATTCTTAGTGTCAGAAGAAAATACTGACAGGCGTATTTATGTCCAGAACACACACACACACACACAATGCTGATCCTCTATTCTCATTTTCTGGATTATATTTACCAAGCTGTTGTTCCATTTTTCTCTACATCTAAAATTCCAGCTGAACAAAAAACCAATCCATACCAGTTGGTGAGGACAGCAGTTCCACTGGCCCGTCAGTCCTTTGCAACAACTSGACCCAGTGGGACAGAAAAATTTGTTATCGCAGCGAATGACCCCATACTCAAAGGAGCTGCTGCTGGCTTCTGTTAGTGCCGTCATTTGTGTCTGCAAAAACAAGAAAACTGTCATTTTGTGCTTACCAATACTTTTAATGCACATTACTTAACTAATGGTGTTTTAAAGTAATTGCCTTTAAAGACTTTACAATTTATTATTGTTTTGTCATAACATATTAAAACCACATTGTTAGCGTTGGTGAAATTAATTGAAATTCAAACTGTTATGCACATGTTTGGCCACTAGGGGGAACCAAAACTATGTGTAAATAGATCAGGGGTTCCCAAACTTTTCCATGCCATAGACCCCCAAACAGCATTAGCTCCTGGGACCCCGTTGCAAACCCACAAACAATCCTATAAAATATGTAAAAAAAATGATTCTTAAAAATGAATGAATYGATWTCATTGTTATTGCATGACAGTAAGTCACGTCTTTAAGACAAATTCAGTTTGATGCCTCATAACTTTTGGTCACAAAGGATTCGTGATGACATTTTTATTTACTTTGAAATTATATTTTGTTACTAAGACAAGTTTGATACAAGAACAAAGATGCTGATGTTAAAGGAGACATGTCCTGCTTTTAAATCCTTCTTTTTCACATTTAAATTATTCAGTTGGGGTCCGTATAAAAARGAACGTCAATGATTTGGTCTGWATTCCTTCTTATTGTAACTCCACAAGCCCCTCTTTCACCCTTTTTCTGAGGTGTGTCTCAGATCAACTCGTTTTGAGGCTGTCTCTTTAAATCCAAACAAGGCGCTTCACACCCTGCTCCCACCACCAAACTGTAGTTGGTAAGTCCAGACCTTATTTAGACGTTTCTTTGCAATCATTTGAGGTAATAGTTCAGAAAACATCATAGAAAATAGAGAAAACYGAACAAGTTGAAAGATACGACCCAAAAAGGATATAAAGGTATCTACGCAGCACCGGGAGAGACTAAAYGCAACTTTTCTGTAGAGACTACAAGTACACAACAAAATGCATTTAACAGCTAAAAAATTGGATTTTGCACGTCTCCAGTAAATAACTGAACTGAATCAGAGTTGAGTGAATCGTTAGTAAAAACACAGCAGACAACTCCCAACGTGAGGCTGTGTGCTTTAATCTTAAGTCACGTCAATAAAGAAATGGTGGGTAAAAATCTTTAACTGTTTGGCGTCTCCTACCTCCTGCTCGCTGCTTTTATCTTCAGACGGTGGAATGAGAGCAGCGGGGACTGAAGTCAGGGATTGTCTGGGACTGAAGGGATACGTCAGGCCTTCCCTGACACAGTAAGTGTAAGTGTGGTCGCAGTCATAACCATACGGACAGCAGTGGTAGCCATCCAGACAACACCTCCCCTGTTMAAGAAATGTTTCAAGAAAAATTAATAACAAAGCCTTTTTTTTATAATAAAAAAACAAGAATTTTCAAACATTTTCTACTCACGGGAGAGTAGGGGCAACAGAACCAGCCACCTTTTGGGTGACGGCAGCAGGTGGTCCCATCAGGACAGGCGTAATAATAGTCACAGTGGACGATGGTTGTTTTGGGGGCAATCAGATCGTCACTTTTGAGCTCCTGAACGGGGGAAACAAACAGATCCGGGGTGTGTGGAGCTTCTTTCTTCACCATAGGCACCTTTACCCATGGCTGGTTTTGTTTCCTGCACAGCCGTTTCACCTGGTCACAGGTGTATCCTGGAGGGCAGCAGTTCTCCAGGTCGGCACAACACACGGCCTGTGAATCAGAATCGCAACGACTGGCTTTGGTTTTGGAAAGTCAAGTTGCGAGACAGTGTTAGAATAAATCCGACTCACGTTTGGGTACGGACAGCATTCGTATCCTTTTTCAGTCCGGCAGCAAGTGGCGAAGTCGGAGCAGACAGAACCATCGGGGCAGTCGATGGAGCCGAATGCAAAACCCAACAGGCACGCGCTCGCGTGCAACCACAGAGACACCTTCAACATCTGGTGAGGACATTTTTTTTCTTTCAAACACACAGCAGCAGGTGGTTTGTACTTTTAAGTTTTCTGCCTTTCAAAATAAACTCATCGAGAGGTTAAATTAACAGAAGTTACAGCTCAGTTCAAACAAAAAGACCAAGAAAAGATTAAAAAGTTTGTTTCTTACCTTGGATCTGTGAAGTGATTCTGTCTTCCTGTCACACGCTCACACTTCCTTAAACTGCACACACACACTGCTCTTCATAGGAGAGATTAGACACTCCCACTCTCCAAAAGCAAATGGTAAAACACACACCCTTTTTTTATTTGTTTAGTTTCATTATAAAAGGTTTGGTAACCRTCGCAGGCAGCAAACCAAAACAGCCTCATTATTGCTCAACTTAAACATGGCAGATTTTATGACTGACCTTTGATTTGTCAGGAGAAAAGTTTAGCAAGTCTAAACCAAAGATGACGCTGCTACTAAATGTGCTGAAGTTTATACTTAATCTTCAAAACACAAACTCAGCCTCGTGRTATTTATTTTTCAAATGTACTCACTAAAGGTGAAAAAATAGGGGAGTGGGTTAATAAATGATCTACTCCACAGCTTTATTTTGAAAACCTTACCCTTCTGCTAAACAATCATTCATTTCTAATGTTTTGACATATTTTTACAAACTATAAATTGCATTTTTTTCAGTTCTCACAGTCACGAGCACGTCAAAGTGTTGGGAACAGTGTCTTGCCCAATGGCACTTCTGCACGCTGCAGGAGCTGGAAATCAAACCAGTTGGACGACAATCCACCATGTGAAAATACCTCTGAGTTCCTGTTCCCATTTCCTAAATAAGTGACTTTCAGATGCTGTTTATTAGATGTGCACACATTTTAAATTTTTCCCTGTTTTAAAATACTTRAAGCATACAGGCTGCACTCAAAAAACAGATTGTYAGATTTACTTATCAAGCTGTCAGCATTAACTGAACTGAGCTGGGTAAACGTAAAGCAACTTTCACATTTTCTGTAAAAATGAACCTGAAAGTGTTTTGCATTTACCCAACTCAGTTAAGTGGAAGTTGACATCATTTTGGCTAAACAAATCCAACAATCTGTATATTGTGTTTGTATTAATYAGGTACAAAGACTGGACCTTCATAAAGCCTGAAAAACTGTTAATCAAGATCACTTTAAAAATAAGCTCTGCTCAAAAGGTAGGGAAATGTGTTTGATAGATTATTTCATCGTTGTAATGCTTCTTGACAATAATACTGTCGGAGAGTCTGGTAATGTCCCTTTTAAATGGTGCCACATTTGTAAGGAACATCATTTCTGGGAAGAGCAGTACAGCTGAATACAGCGGGCAAAATAAGTATTGAACACGCCACCATTTTTCTCAGTAAATATATTACTAGAGGTGCTAATGACA